AGTGCGAATGTTGTCCTTGTCTTGCGGTGATGTGCCGTGACTAGCTGATGCGTTATAACGCGTATATATAAATATATATATTTATATACCATGCGGACTATTCATTATTTACCTAACCGCAGCTTCAGATGAAGTGAAAGGCTAATTGGCAGCGCAGGTTCGACTGGCGTGAGACTTTGGGCTGATTGGCAAGAGAATTTACAACTGTCTTATTTTAAAAGCGATGCTTACAATTTGAGACCATCTGGGCATCATGCTTTTCATCTAGCTGGAAGTCGGCCGCTTTGAAGGTCGCAGCAGCTATTCAAGTATAATTCGAGCGTGTGGGGGTTATTAAGTACCGTTAATAATGTACATTAGGTAGCGAGAGTGTTGTTTAAAATAACCTCCGACCTAAAACTAGATTTAAAGTTTGCTACTTCAAAAGCGGAAACATAGCTTTGAAGAGTAAGTTTCTGGTGTCATTGAATCTCCAATTTCCCCAACTTCTTAGACTTTAGAGTGTCTGATAAACGGACCGACAGAGAATTCCACAGTTGACAAGTTTCCAGACACACTGAAACGGCTTTGTTAATCTCAACTCCCCTTTGGAGAATCTAATAGAGGCAACATGAGACCATAGCGAAACTGCGGAAGTAGAGCAATTGGGTTTCAGTCAAAGACAAAAGGTTGATTCCACGAACTATGACATACGACTTACAGTGGTCTAGACCCTGTAACTGGACAACAGGTAACTTAGTCCGCGATAAAAGATCGAAACTCCGAAGAATGTCTCACCACGTACCGTTGAACCTCGTTCTTACTGACGTTCCGCAGAAATAGGTTGATTTTCGTGAATGACCCTGAAGTTTTATGACGGACACAATTCCTCGATTATTGTATCAAATTCTGCGCTATTCTTTACATTAATTAAGGTCAGCTTCACTATATTTTGAAAACCGTAAAATATGTATTCTCTTACTCTGTAAACGTTACCACATAACCATTATGGTAGAGCGCAAATTATTGATCATAATCATGAATCTAAGATTTTATAGTAATACGTAGAAAATGTCTTCAGTTGAATGTTCGCAGAGTTGTCGCAGAGTTGAACACTATAAAACCCATTTTGGTGAAAAGATGTAACTGAGGTAAATGACTCATATATTAAAAAGCTCTAACAGTTAACCGAATTAGGTCATATTGATTGATTAACGAAACGTACAAACAAACAAAAACGGACAATATACTGACAAAGAGAAGAACATATTGTTATTTATACGATGGAACTTTAGCTTTACGCAGATGGTTATGTGGGTGATGATACTACGGGGAACGCTTAGTTCCACAATATCTTTTCAGTGTGGTAACTTTAAAGGTACACGACCGCGGAATATCAGCTATTTTCAGAACTACCAACTAAGTATAAGTAATGATTAGTCGGAGGGTATATAAATAGGGTCACTGTAATCACGTACATTAATAACAATACACTGGCTCCTGTGAAAGGTGAACATTCAAATTTTCACGATACATTTTTTACAGATATCTTTTGACAATTCTGTACCACATGACCCATGTAATGTGATGTGTAACTTGTAAGATGTTTTTGCTTCGTAAATCATCATTAGAACAGAGGCGGGAGGCAGTTGTTGTCAAACTAAAATATTATGTTGCCCACAAATTATAAGAAATTGTATGTCCGCTCCCCGTGTGACTGAGCAGGTATTTGTAGAGGCATGATCATGGACTTCAACAAGTAGTTAATTCTGGGCCAGCATTTGGATTTTTGAAACATTGCACTTCTAATTGCATCAAATTATTTCACTTAAGAAGACACAACAAGGAAAAAAAACCTTTAATCCGTTCTAAATTCCGAGAATTAAAAATCTACATCACATCGATTGCCAATAACTAATTTTACTAATATTTAATTGAACACGATGAAGAAACGGTGAAATAAGAGTCAAATGAGCGACTAGCAATCTACACGGCAGCCTGTCGCATCACTAATGACTTTGGATAAACGACGTCGGTATGAGGTGAAACGGTCTCAGTATCAAAGAAAACATGACCATCGCAAAGATATTCTTCCTCCTTTGTCGTAGGGAGTAATAGCGAGGCGTTAGTCGCTTCTCATTGGCTAGCAATTTCGCGTGTTTGCGGAGTAACAGCGCGCTCGCTCAACTTACTGGACAGAAAATGTTACTGCGCGGCGCGGTAACGTTTCAAACTTTTATTTGCCAGACGTTACTTTTTACTTGACACGACTCATTTTCTCACCATGTATTTTAATTGGGTCAAGAGAGAAGTTTTATACGCTGTGAAGTTATTTTAAATTTCATACTCTCCGAATACAGATATGATTAAACTTAATTTTTTGATTAGTGATTAAGGATCGTTCACAATTCACATATAACATATTAATATTACGTAATCACTTTTTGGCCAATTTTTAAAAGAATTATTTTTTTGCTGCATCAATACAATTAATACAATCATCATACATCAATACAATCATCATCAATTATGCATTAGTGCACAAGTCATTACATCGCTTTATATAAATTTGTGTTTTTAAACATTAGGCCTGGATTGCCCAGGCCAGGTAGCAACAGCTGGTCGTGATCGTTAATGAACGTTGTACTCAAACAGTAATTACTGGTTAAATTAATAATAGCAAACAGCACGAATTGACGGATTAAATTGAAATGTGTAATTAATACTTTGCTCCAGTGTCTAGTGTCTAGGAAGTTCGTAAGTGACATGACTGTATAGTGTACGTTGAGAAGTAAGAACCAATCGTAATACTGGGTAAGCGTGGAAAGTATTTGTATTAAGGTTAAACATGTTTTAGTTTTGCCCATAATTCACAGAAGCTCAACAGATGTGGTTTTTAATTCACTATCAGACAAGAAAATTTGGAGCATGATTAGTGATTACTGATTACCGTAGTGTTGTTACACAGCAAAACATTGACCATAAAACTAAATGAATTAAATGTGGCCAGGAACGTATACCTTTTTTCTGATTTCACAAAAAAATAGAAACAGGACCTTAATTTCAATTCTCACAAATCAAGTTCAGATGCCACAGACTTTGTTTATTTATCTATTTGGAATGAAGTAATTTAGAAAATTAAAACAAATCTTAATAATTTCGACGGCAAGTGAGTCGTTAAACAAACAATTATCATAACATGAACAAAATTTGCCAATAAAACCAAAAATCACTCAATTTTATTGGTGTCCTATACAGTATTCAGCTAGTATTACAAGAAAACTAATCTACTTTAAACTTCATCGTGTAATTAATATCATGATATTTAAAATACTAAAAACCTAACGCATCACATATAATATAGAAAGAAGTAGCCCAGTTAATTGAAGAATAGTGTTACGGCTGTCAAATATCCCAGTGTAGCCGGAATCCAGGTAGGTATGGGTGAAAGATGCAGAGCAAATCATAGAGTTGGGCAGATACTTATTACGGGTTATCAGAGAATGGAAATTATGCGGTTTATGGTAGGTAGTATGTAATATGTAATATGTTCCTTTGCAATGATCTCTTGATTTCACAATTATGGTAAAATAGATACGTATACATGTTTTAATTCCCATGACTTTTAATTGTGTATCGTTGAGTAATGTGATGATGCATGGGAAGGGTGGCTTCCAGCGACAATGGGAATGATTCTACCAACAAATCTATCATTGAAATTATCAATACAACACAATTAGACTTTCTCAACTGAAATATACAGAAAGGGGAATTTACATATTCGCAATTTGCTTCACTTAAAAAGTCTTAATTTCCATACAATTTACTTATCGCATTACAAATATAATATAGATAGCGTCAAACTTATCGAATACAGTTATACAATCTAATACAATTTACAAGCTTGCCAACATTAATTTAAAAGTCACTTAGAACGGTTATTGAAATTTAAAACTTGTATATACAGACATTATTTAGAAATCCAGCCACAAAATTAACTCGGATTATACAGACCGATACCACTATACTAGATGAAGATCAATAAACTGACTTCGAAGTGTTTTTTTCCTGGTTTTAATCGAGAGATTTGGTTTGGCAGAGTTCCAAGAATAACTCTAATTCGTCCCGTAGCTTGGTGGTGTCCATAACCTCGACAGAATAGACAGTGTCCCAGTCATCATCCATGACAGATACATCCAAATCTACTCCTGGGGACGTTCATTTTAGTGGCAGTAAATCAATAAATTATAGTAAAAAACACAGCGGGGGTGACTGATACTTTAAAGGGACTTATGAGGATTCAATTTTTACAGCAAAAGTGAAGACTTATTCGATAAAAGAACAAAGAATCTCCCGCAAGTAATGCCAATAGAGCAATTTAACCAAAACCCGGAGTCATGGAACCCTTGTTTGCACTGTGTTCCGGTTTAATCGGATCTAGACCATTACGAAACGCAGCACAGTATCCCTGCTACAGGCTACTATGCGACAAAAATGAATTCAATCAAAGGTTAGCCGAGTCAAACATTTAACAAGTGCGTAGCAACCCATCACTAACTCACCTATTTCATGTAATTTCTCCAGTAATTCTGCCAGTTCCCGCTCGATCCTGTCCAGTTTCTGAAACCTGGTCTCAAAGACAGCAACATCATCTTCCATACTAACTGCTAGAATAAAATGTACGCTTTAAACACTGATGTTGATAAGATATGAAGAAACAAGATATGAAGAAACAAAGGAATTGGAGTTAGGAAGTTAAATTCCTGATAAGCTCAAACTGCGCTGGTCCCTGCCAATGAAATTACCATAAACGAATTCACAGTCGATCTAGTCGTACACGCGTGGTCGCTGCGCGCGTCGATATAAATATATGTCAAACGATACTGTCTGAGCGCCTTCCACCAATGTTTATAAACTGTGTGACCGATAACATTGGATCTACGGATAGAAACAATCCAAGATTAGATATTAAATTATATAATTGATAAGACCTGTGAAGCAGCTAGAGATTATAATTTAGAATTACGACTTCCCTTAGGAATCAAAATAATTGACTATTTACAAAATACGAATACATTAACTGTACAAACTACAAATATAGTATTTCTGGTAATAATGTTATTAGATTAGAGAAATCATTGAGAAAAATCATGAGAAAATCATTAACACCCAAAGTCCCAAACCCATGGCTACATGCATGGGATACCGAGGATTATAAACTCTTTACGCTCAGGTTTAGTTACTTAATGACGTCAAGGTTGATTCGTTGTTAAGGGAGATTATTGTCAGGAGACGAATTCGTTAAAATAAAAAAATGAAATTAAAACATTAAGCATCATCTCTAAAGATCATGTCCTTGTAATTAAGGTCTGAAAAATGTATAAATATATTAAATTTTATACTTTTTATTTAATAGCTAAAGTCTATGAGTTGCACCAAATTTCCATCGAAGCAAGAATGCATATCCAGTAAGCTTCCTCCTGACCGCTAAATCCATTCTGAGCTGCCGACATGCTATAAATAACAACCCCTCTGATCCCTAACCACATTCCACTATCCTCTAGTCAGGGTCACAGTGACCACATTCCACTATCCTCTAGTCAGGGTCACAGTGACCACATTCCACTATCCTCTAGTCAGGGTCACAGTGACCACATTCCACTATCCTCTAGTCAGGGTCACAGTGACCACATTCCACTATCCTCTAGTCAGGGTCACAGTGACCACATTCCACTATCCTCTAGTCAGGGTCACAGTGACCACATTCCACTATCCTCTAGTCAGGGTCACAGTGACCACATTCCACTATCCTCTAGTCAGGGTCACAGTGACCACATTCCACTATCCTCTAGTCAGGGTCACAGTGACCACATTCCACTATCCTCTAGTCAGGGTCACAGTGACCACATTCCACTATCCTCTAGTCAGGGTCACAGTGACCACATTCCACTATCCTCTAGTCAGGGTCACAGTGACCTCGTGACATTTCCTAAAAGTGTAGTCTGTAGCGCCAAGATGGAACCAGCTTGGTAACTTCTTGTACATGTCCAGACCGCGACCCAGGATAGCAACCCACACTACATGGTTGTCATTCTTAAACCTTATCTGAAAAAGTGTGTACACTTGGTAAGATGCTACTTGAATAATAGTGAAATAATAGTGAAAGAATAGTGAAAGAATAGTGAAATAATAGTGAAATAATAGTGAAATAATAGTGAAATAATAGTGAAATAGTAGTGAAATATTTTTCAGACATATTCCCAAGACGAACAATAAGAGAGAAACACACTGACCTCCCTATCATGAAGCGTTTCAGAGTAGTTGGTGACCAGTGTTACTTGTCTCTCTTCTAAACTGTCCCCCAAATCTCTCATACACTTCTGCTGCTGGGTCCTTTGGTCGCCCTGTTATCAGTTCATCCGTTAATTAAAACCAAAAAGTATGCATGAACAGAATATAATATGATAAGTCCATGAAATTTGATATCAAAATGAAATTGGGTGTTTTTCCAAACGAATTGAAGTTTTGCAGGGAATAAACTGGTACGTATACCATACTCAATGCAATCATTTTGTTATCAGGCATATGAATAAAGAATCGAGCTGAAAATGCGGTATAATTTGAACCGAGAGTAGCAAGCCCACAGTTCTTTGCCACAATAAAGCCAATAACTTTCAACTTTACAATTATCAACTTACCGGAGGAGCGGTGCGGGTAATAATCCTGATATGAGACACAGATCTGACACGTGCAAATACCTCGCATACCGAGACCAGGTTAGAAAGCTACCTGCGGGTGTTACAACCAATATCTGCTTTATATTTGAGAAGAGTTACAAGATTCATTATATTTGGGCTCTTCAACAACAAGATGAGTCACAGTACCTAATGATGTCTGCTTTATTTGACAGTAGTTCTTAACATACTGCTCAAATGCAAACACATCTACCATTAAAACCGATAAAGAAGAAGAGACAATCATAGTAACCTGATGTCTAGCGTGGAGGTAGGGGTCTTGTATTCTGATGTGAGTGGGAGAGTCTGCGAGGGGTTTGGTGAACAACTTGGCGAATGACCAACCAGTTTCGTCGTTAGCTATCCTTATCTCTTGTACTTGTGGTACACTTGCTGTGGGGTGGGTTACGGTAATGTCGTGAAAAATTCTAGCTATTTTAGCCAAAATAAAATCTATGATTAAAGAATTTATCATAGTTCGCGTTATATATTTGACAACAGAAGGATTAAATAAGTTTGTTTACTAAAAAGTTGTGCATCTTGAACATGTGATTTAAATGTTCTTGAATTCAGGTTATCATCCGATTACTGACCTCTACTTTTCTTTTTCTTGATAACCTCTGCTCGGGAGAGGTACGTACTCAGTAAATTCTTGTAGTGATCTTTCTTCTCTGATGATGTCGGTTCTGAGGGTTTATCAATTGTTAACGGGGAACATTAAAATTTAAAATTTTGTATCGGTAAATTCACAGCCCCAGTCAAAATTTATTTAGCAAGTCAAGAAAAACGTAAGTAACTTTAATCTTCATTTTACAAATGATAGATATTTCAGTCAAACGATAATCTTCTGATATTCTCAGACTCACGTTTGAGTTTCTCCATTAGTTTCTCCAGGCCCTGCTGGTAGAGACTGAAGGCTTCATCGAACTTGCCCTCCTCGTCCTTCACCCGCCCCGCGTATAAAACTTGCTCAGCATCCTCCATCTTCTACCATCTCATTTATACATCAGCTTGTTAACTGGTAGACGGTTAGGGTTAATAAATAACATTTGTAGTTGTGGTAGTTGCAATAGTTTAGGTAATAAGGAATGTGAGGGTCAGATCACAGATGGTCCGTTATGTTGAGTAGATATGAGGAAATTCCGTTTAGAAGTGACAGTTAGCGAATTAACTAAAAATAAGGGGAAACAATAGTCTCGAAGATATCCAGAAAATTGTGTAGTATAAAATGATCATACATCCATTTAAAAAACTGTAAAACTTTAAAACCAAAAGTCTATGCTGACAACAATATATATTATGCAACCCTTTTAGTTACAAAGTCAATACAATTAACAAAAATCTCAGTCACAGCGACTAGATTATAATTTGGTAAAAGGTAGATTATGTTTGACAGACAGAAAATTATGGTAATCAGTAATGGTTATAAAATCAAATTATAGCATGAATTTAATAACAAATTTATGAAAGTTCAAGAACATCACTCAAGCACAAAAGGCTAAGATCTGTAGTTGAAGTGTGTTCGTTATTCGATTCTTTCGATCATGCCTTATTTGTAATGGGTATAACGCCGACGGAGAAGACAAATTAAGTTTAAACACACAATTTTGATTGGCAAAACATGCTTTAATTAATAAAAATATAACTGTCACCAAGATGAGAAATTAGGTCTCACGACTCACGCAGGAATTAGGTCTCACTCAGGCGCGTGATATATATAAATACACTGCGCCTGTTTGAGACCTAATTCCTGCGTTCGACCTAATTTTTCCGTTCGACCTAGTTACATCTTGGTGAAAGTAATGATCAGAGTCAAATCATCGAAACTTAGAAAAGCGAGATAATTAATTGTATCCCGAATGATTGCATATAATATAGTTTAAAAATTCGTAGGGCTTTGACGGACGTTATTGAAGAAATGAATGTAGAAATGCAGATTGATCAAGGTAGCACATAATATTATAATCGTGTAACTGTAAGTCTTTAGCTGATGATAAAACATACGAGTCTTACGTGTCTATCTTCATTCCATATTAATGGACGAAATTTCCATTGCACCGACCCCTCCCTACTTTCTAACATATTCAAGTGCTCAACTGATTCATTATGGAACTTGATATAACCCCAATTCCAGTAAGTCTTTGTATTGTCACATGTTGGTTTACCGCACCAAGTGAGAGGGTACATGTGACACTTATTATCAAAATGTCTCTCAAGAGCAAAATGCAATTTGGGATGATTGCTAACTTGACTTGTATCATGTGAATCTAACAAACCCCACTTCCAACCGAACGAATCCGGATTATTGTCCTGCATTGGGGTGGTTGACACCATAAACTTTTGATTTGCAAACTTTGGATCTGAAATTTCAAACCTGATATCGGATTGATTACGAAACATCTTCTGGACAAATTCTGACGGAGCACATTCCAGAATCCTTGTTCTTTGAAATTCTCTATCTTTCGAAACAAGCGCATCACAGATCTTAAAGCACTCAAGCAACGGGTGACTATGCGAAGGAGGAATGCTAGTAGTTTCCAGCACAGCTTCAACGTACTTGTAATGAATCTTACTCCAGCCACGTTTCTTTTTTAAGTCGACAATTTTACGTAACAAAGCTTGACTTTCAGATCTACATCCAATTATGTTGACACTTCTTAACCAAATTCCATCAAAAAATGTATAGAGATTATCAATATCAGTTCTCACAGCAAGCATATCAAATACAGTATCAAAGTTCAGATCTTTAGACATGTACATATTGAATGATCCGAGATTAGGTACAGGCGAAAAAGAATTACTGACACGCTCTAAAGTTTTACTGACAGGTCCTTTCCTGCTAGTAACCTTCTGGTGCATTTCTAGGAGGAGCTGAAAGTCCTCTTTTGCTATGTCGTTTAAACCATAGAGGACAGCAAACAATCTTGTATGTATTTCAGGATTTTCATCAAAACACAAACCCATATTTAAATTCTTGAGAAGATGCCTGCTATTTTGGTCGAGACTGTTACTTTCGGGTTTTTCGAGATGAATAACAAGTGACTCGACAAGAACTTGTGGGTTCGAATTCATAATCGCTAAGCAGGCATCAAGTTTGTATGTGGACAATGTCGACAGATTAATCAGGTACTGCTTCATAAAGCTATTCCGTTGATCAACAGATATAGAGATCATCCTCTTTACAACTAATTCAAGGAAATCTCTTTTCTTCATAGCAGACAGCAGATAAACAGCCTCCTCTACAGCAAACAGCATATCAGGGTAGCTACTCTCACTGTCTAGTTTATCCAGATACGACACAAAGTACTCCTCACATCTGGCAACAAGCCAACTAACACCAAACACACGACTCATCTTGTTCACGTCTCGGAAGTTTCCTACAGTTACTGCCTCTATTTCTCCTGTGTAGGAAGCCTCAATAAAACAGTCCACTGCCTCCCTGCTAAAGTCCTCAGCTTCTAGTGACGTCAGGTGAAGGTTTGTTGTCAGGTCATCTATAATAGGACTGTTCAGGGACAGTACAATGGAGTTTGCTTTGATCTGAACTCCATCTCCTAGGTTGAAGGTAAGATTACCGTGACTTGGTGCTCCAATGTGGTGTCTACCAAAATCTGCCGGTACACATACTTTAGGAGCCATAGTGAACTATCCTGAAAATTGGAGGTTTAATTTCTAAAATTTTGGTAATATTAGTTAAAAATAATATTATGAAATATTATTCAAAATTTTCGAGCAGAACGAAGATGTTACTTTATACGTTATCACTAATTATAAATTTATATATACTTAACAATTCCTAAACATGCTCATCAGCTGAGAGAAAGAAATTAAGTTGCTTTACAAGATCCGATATAACCTATTCCTCGCAGATTTCTCGCTGAAGATGTACCACTAAGCCTTGAATTATGGACAGTCTATAACAACATCCAAGTAGATGCCTTTAATGTTAGGTACTGAAACTGAAAGTGCTAAAAATGTTGTTCTTTTTAAACTGTGACATGTAACGTATTGGGCCCAGGTAAAGTTTATATTATTTCGGTTGATATGATTTGATTTGATTTGAAACTTTTACAAATAGTACATATTATACAATTATACAATACAGCAATGAGAATAAAAAATAAACGACATCATGAGGCATTATGTTGTATAAAAGTCGTAGACCATATTGTATAATTAATACTAATAGCATGGGTAAGTGGTACAAGTTCTATATTGTAACTCAAAATAAATCTTCCAAGCAGTGCCCCTTTTGTTTCGTTTCTAACATGCCTAAAATTTACCATGACAATTGTATGAGTCGAAAGTGACTGCATTTTTTAAATGAACAATTTTGGGAAATCTTGATTGAAATTGAGTACTCAATAGAATAACACAGAAACGCTGACAGTAAAAAAGTCACAACTTTTGTTAGAATAAACATTTTTAACAGGTTTGAGGAATTTGGTTGATCGCATTCTCCCCTTTGCTTTCTAAAAGGGTTATATATTCCACAACATCAAGACCAAGTCTGATATACGTAAAATACCACAGATTCTTCATGGTATAACAAATGCAACTAGTCGGCACTTGCACTCATTAGTTTGGCATATTTCAATATAATATTTCAAGTCGACAAGACACTCGCCTCCTAAATCCATTTCTAATTCATTCATCTCTTTATCATGAAAACTGATGTAGCCCCAGTTCCAGAATGTCCTCGTTTTGTCACACGTTGGTTTACCGCACCAGGAAAGAGGGATTATAGCAGATCTAGAACCGTTCATCCTCTCAATGGCAAAGTGAAGTTCTGGTAAATCAAGCAATTGTTCCGGATCCTGACCCAGCAATTCATACTTCATACTGAATGTGTCTGGGTCTCCTCCCTTTATAGCAGTGGTTGTTAAAACAAAACGTTTGTCTGCATATCTCGTTCCAGATACAGGAATGTCAAATGCACTGTTTTGCATAAAAATCTTCTTCACAAAGTCATCAGGAGATAGGTTATCAGTTATTGTTACTTTGGAAATATTCTCATTTGAAACAAGTTCATCACAAGCCTTTAAAAGATCTATTAATCTTCCAATGTCATAATCCCGGTACAGTTTATCAAGATATTCAAAGTTCACTTTGTCCCACTTACGTTCCTGTTTTGCAGCGATCATATCCGATATCAGAGATTCCGGGAGAATAAAACCACCTTGATAAACTCTGCAAAACAGTCCGTCAATAAATGTATAAAGATTTTCAACTTTTTGATTAGAAACAAGATTTTTGAAGGCAGTGTCAAACTCAACACTATATACAGAAATCCTCGAGTACGGCAATATACTGACAAGTTGAGATGTTTGAGGCAGAGGTTTACTAGTGAGCTGCTTATTAATCTCTAACAGCAGCTGGAAATCCTCTTTACCAACACTCTGAAGGCTGGCTAGCACAGAATACAGTTTTGTGTGAAGATCAGGTGATTTCTGGTAGCAAATTGCCAAGTCAACACTTTTCAAGAGATACCTTGTGTTATCATCAAGACTGATATTACCCTGCTGTTCCAAATGCAATATCACTATCTCTATCAACACCTGGACATCTGATTTCACAATAGCAATACAGGCATCAATCTTATAATAAGACGAGTCGATAAAATCATCCAGGTACTCTTTTATGAAGCTATCTCGCCTTGTGCTAGAAATACGAACACATCTTCTTGACAACTAATTCCAGGAAATCTCTTTTCTTTACAGTAGACAGCAGATAAACAGCCTCCTCTACAGCAAACAGCATATCAGGGTAGCTACTCTCACTGTCTAGTGTATCCAGGTACGACACAAAGTACTCCTCACATCTGGCAACAAGCCAACTAACTTCAAACACACGACTCATCTTGTTCACATCTCTGAAGTTCCCTACAGTTACTGCCTCTATTTCTCCTGTGTAGGAAGCCTCAATAAAACAGTCCACTGCCTCCCTGCTAAAGTCCTCAGCTTCTAGTGACGTCAGGTGAAGGTTTGTTGTTAGGTCATCTATAATAGAACTGT